TCATCATCATCATCAGCAGCATTTCATCCTTATCACCACCACCACCACCAACATCATCATCATCATCATCATCATCATCATCTTATTGGTATCAACATCATCGTCATCGTCAGCAGCAGCATCTCCATCATCATCATCATCCTCATCATCATCATCATCATCATCAGCAGCATCAGCATCGTCATCATCATGTTTTCATATTCGTCCTCCTCATCTCCCCTCTCCTCCTTACAATCAAAACAATAAGACATCTGCACAGTCAACAGCAATAAGAAATCCATACCATCAAAAATCTATAAGTCCACGCAATCAAAAACAATCAGAAATCCACGCAATCAAACACGAAAAGAAATTCATACGAACCCTGTGAGGGTTCCAAACACACACACACACACACACACACCAAAAAAACAAACTGTGAGGGTTACAACAACACCAATAATCAATGGTTTTCGGGGCTTCGGACTTCCTCTGGGCCCCTTCCAGGCCAGATCCGCCCAGGCATCCTGAAGTCCCGAAAACCATATATATATATATATGATGTTTCGGAAACCCTCACAGGTTTTGTTCCCAACCATCCTGTGGTGTTGGGTCCTCGATTTGAAGAGACGGTCCCCGCGTTCCCCCGTCCTTCCTTCCTCCTCCTCCCTCCTCTTCCCCCTCCCTCCTCCTTGCGTTTCACAAACCAAGTACAGCGTTGCATGGCCCCATAGGGAGCTCCGCCGAAGGCCCCAGTGCCACCGCGCGCATGCGTTACCCACCATCATTTCGGCACAGCCCTCACACGATTCGTGGCCCCATAGGGAGCTCCACCGAAGGCCCCAGTGCCACCGCCCGCATGCGTTACCCACTCACATTTCGGCACACCCCTCACACGTTTCGTGGCCCCATAGGGAGCTCCACCGAAGGCCCCAGGGCCACCGCCCGCATGCGTTACACACACCCATTTCAGCACACCCCTCACACGCTTCGTGGCCCCATAGGGAGCTCCACCGAAGGCCCCCGTGCCACCGCCCGCATGCGTCACCCACCCCCATCCCATAGGGAGTTCCACCGAAGGCCCCAGTGCCACCGACCGCATGCGTTACCCACCCCCATTTCGGCACACCCCTCACACGTTTCGTGGCCCCATAGTGAGCTCCACCGAAGGCCTCAGTGCCACCGCCGCATGCGTACCCACACCCATTTCGGCACACCCCTCACGCGTGTGTGTGGCCCCATAGGGACATCCATCGAAGGCCACCGCCCATCCCTACCCAACCATTTCGGCACCCCCCTCAAACGCTTTCGTGGCCCATAGGGAGCTCCACCGAAGACCCAGGCCACCGCCGCATGCGTTAACACACACACACACACCACCACACCCAACACACACACACAACACACACACACACACACCATTTCAGCACACCCCTCACAACGCTTCGTGGCCCCATAGGGAGCTCCACCGAAGCCCCAGTGCCACCGCCCGCCAATGCGTTACCCACCCCCTTTCCGGCACACCCCTCACACGTTTCGTGCCCCATAGGGAGCTCCCCCGAAGGCCCCAGTGCCACCGCCCGCATGCGTTACCCACCACCATTTCGGCACACCCCTCACACGATTCGTGGCCCCATAGGGAGCTCCACCGAAGGCCCCAGTGCCACCGACCGCATGCGTTACCCCATTTCGGCACACCCCTCTCACGCTTCGTGGCCCCATAGGGAGCTCCACCGAAGGCCCCAGTGCCACCGCCCGCATGCGTTACCCATACTCAGTTCGGCACAACCCCCACGTTTCGTGGCCCCGTAGGGAGCTCCACCGAAGGCCCCAGTGCCATCGCCAGCATGCGTTACCCACCCCCCTTTTCGGCACACCCCTCACACGTTTCGTGGCCCCATAGGGAGCTCCACCGAAGGCCCCAGTGCCACCGCCCGCATGCGTCACCCACGCAGGTTTCGGCACACCGCTCACGCGCTTCGTGGCCCCATAGGAGAGCGCGCGATGACGGTCCGGCGGGACCGGCCCTATGAGGGCGGCGCGGGGGGGCCGGAGCCCTCAGTAGTCGGCCTGGGACTGGTGGTCGATCTGGATAGAGGTGGTGTGGGGCGTCGGATGTTGGAGGCTGGATGTCTGGATGTTGATCTAGTGTAGTCTGGAGCCCAATGGGTGGACGTGG